AGGAGTATCACCTCTCTGGACCGGCTTGAGATGCACCTTTGGATGCATGACAAGGTATGGCTGGCCTTGCTGGCTACGGTCTGGCATTGGCAGCTCATGTTCATCTTGGAGTCGATAATGACTCCAAGATCCCTTTCCACCTCTGTGCTTCCAAGAGGGGAACTCCCCAGCCTGTATGTATGCTGTGGATTCCTTCTCCCAAGGTGCAGCACCCTGCATTTGTCTACGTTGAACCCCATCCTATTCTCATCTGCCCACTTTTGTAGTCTGTCTAAATCTAGTTGCAGCCTCTCTCTCCCTTCAAGTGTGTCCACCTCGCCCCACATCTTAGTGTCATCAGCAAACTTGGACAGTGTGCTTTCCACCCCCTCGCCCAAGTCGCTGATGAAGATGTTAAACAGTGCGGGCCCAAGGACCAAGCCCTGGGGTACCCCACTGCTCTACAGACATTAGCATCTACAGACATTGCCAGGGCCCTTGTCCTGCAGAAACACACCCCAAGTGGGGGCCAAGAGGTGGGGGGAAGCATAGGTGGCAGCCTGATACATGTGCCCTTGCAGGAAAATTTCTGAAGTGCACAAACTGTGACTACCTTTAGTCACAGCAACATTTTTGAGCACTTGGGAGTATGACATTGGGCTAGGACATCTGTTTGAAACCTATAAGGTCACAGCCCTGCACCTGGGGCCTTTGCCTGGCCAACAGTGCAGGCCCACCACCGCATGGCTGACCACCCAGACAGGATAAGGCTGGCCTGAAGCCTCCAGCAGGTCCTAATCCTCTACTCACTCCCTGTTTCCAGAGTGGCCAGTCAGGATAAACTGACCCTCCACTTCCCCCATATAAACCCTTGGACAGGGAGAAGTGTCTGGGCACCAGGGTTCAGCCTGATCCAAGACTCCTTTGCTGTTCCTTCCAGCTTGCTCTCTTCCTCCTATCTCTATTCAATCTCCTGGCTCCCTGACTCTGCTCCCTGCTTGACCTGCTGACTTTCTGATTCAACGCACTGCTAGACCCCACTCTCAGAATGACCTCCTGGCTTCCTGACCCAGCTTGTCCCTGGATTCTGTTTGCCCCTCCTGACCCTGGTCAGCACCTTGATCCCAGCATGACACATTCTAAGGCAGCTTCCCCTCCTCTTTTAAAGCAGTTCAAACTTACATTTGTTCACAGCCTAAATATAATATATATTAAGGTAATTGGAGCCAGATAAATTACAATCCTTGGAGAAAGTAAATTATTAATATATATTAATCAATAAATATATTTTAATGGCATAAATAGTTTTCTGTATTGATATATTCAACAAGTATGTGTTTTACAAGCCAGATTCAGCAAGGAATTATACATGTGCCTAAGGACCTTCTTGAACCAGGGCCTAAAGTATTAAACTATATAGAGCATAACAGTTAGGCCCTAATCCAGAAAATGTCCCTATTGATAATAGTTTATAAGTACATGCTTAACTTTGATCAGTTGCTTAAAATTAAGAATAAGTGCTGTGCAGCATAGGCAAACAGGGAGGTACTTAAATATACACTTCAGTGCTTTGCTGAATTGTGACCCAAGTTAGGTAACTGCTTGAATACATTTATTTAACTATTATATTTAATTAAAATGTTGCCTCTTGCCTAATAAAATGCTATTTGCAGAAACAAAACTGTAACCCAAATATGGGATCATTAGTAGTATTTCATGATTGTTGCTGTACTCAATAGCTTGAGGTAAAAATAGAAGTAGTTAATGTTCTGATACATTGCTCATTGATGCTACCAATTAATTTCAAGGTTTAATCACTAATATTAAAATGGCTTCCAAAACCAATAGCAAATATTTATTTAAATTACTATTTAAGCAGGCGAACAATCCTTAGGCAGGAGGCACATTGCAAAATATACTTTTAAACTGTTATGAAACTAGCTAGGGCAACATGTGGAGTATGTGGAGGAGACAATTTGCAAAACTGATGGTTTCCTCATATAAAAAAAATCCCATTTCCACAAGGAGCAAAGTGTTCTCAAGCTTCCATTGAAGGCAATGCCAAAATCATAGATACTTTTCAGTGCTTTTCACGAGGAAGCTGGGATGATGATGATGACAATGATGATGACGATGATGATGATAAATGCTACCTATCATTTGCATTGTATTTTTAATCAGTGGATCTAAAAGTGATAGCTATTTCATAGATTCTTAGACTGAGGTATACAGCTTCCATGTACCATAACATATTAATTCTAAAGCAAGTCTAAAATAGCAGTCTAGAGGAGCTGTCAAAATGCTCCCAGTGGTAATTAAAAATAACAGGACTAGAACTAAAAAGAAAATCGTGTGTCATAGCCCAAGTGGTGTGTAAACATAAAAATGGAAACAAACAAAGAATTTGGAAGCCAGTTAATATTTAGCAATATGCCACATATGTTCAGATTGTATTTTTAGAATTAGAACTGCAATTGGCATTAAAATATATCAAGCTAAGCTTTTTCTAGCAAGCACCTGTGAAATGGTCAGCAAAATAAATGTGACAGCCCTATTCTTACACTAAAATGATGCACTATGTAGAGAGTGAAAATAACCATCTATGCTTGATTAATTAGTTTTGTAAGTATTGTCCAAGAACTAAACAATATTTCTAAAGATTTCAATAGTTCAAAGATTGCCCTATGGCCGTCTGGCCAATACATCTTCCAGCACACACAGTTTACAAGCATTTTTCTTCCCAATATGTTGTCTTTGGTTGGTGCGACATTGTGTGAGTGCAGGTCTATTTGGGTCAAAGTGGTTTTCTTCACATCACAGCAGTGGTGCTGAGTACAGCACTTTGACCATACATCTTTCATGTCATTTCAATCAAAGGCACATGATGCTTCCTGGTGACCAATCAGGAATGGTCCAGCATTCTAACAGAGGGTCATATTGGCAAACCAAGCTTTCTTAATGACAGGCATT